CAGCATATGGGGCCGGTGCCCTACGCCTTGAGCCACAGGCGCCGCCCATGAGATTTCTTTTTGCTAATCTCCTGTGTTAAATCCTTTGTTTCCTGGATCCCATAGCATTTACTTTTGTTGATTATATCCTTATTTACCTAAAGTATATGTTCTAGATGGTTTCTGAAAAAATGTACACAATCTGGGTGTGGCAGCATAAACCTGTAAGTCAGGAGGCTACGGTAGAAGAATTGTTTGAGGCTGCAGTAAGCTATGATAACACATGCTTATCTGGAATATTTTTGTCTTATTTTCACCTTTTGATTAATTGTTTGGCTAGGTGCAGAATTCTAGATTGCAAACTATTTTTTTTTTTTTGAGACGGAGCCTCAAGCTGTCCCCCTGGGTAGAGTGCCACGGCATCACACTCACAGCAACCTCCAACTTCTGGGCTCAAGCGAGTCTCCTGCCTCAGCCTCCCAAGTAGCTGGGACCACAGGCGCCCGCCACAACGCCTGGCCATTTTTTGGTTGCAGCCATCATTGTTGTTTGGCGGGCCCGGGCTGGGGATTCGAACCCGCCACCTTAGGTGTATGTGGCTGGCGCCTTAGCCGATTGAGCCACAGGCGCCGAGCCTAGATTGCAAACTATTAATATTTTTCTCAGGAATCTAGCACTATTGTCCAGAACTCTGATGATGATTTTGACTTCTGTTCATTTATCTATGAGCTAAATTTTGTCTCCACAAGCTTTAGGATATTCTTTTTAATTCTGATGCTCTGTAATTTCATGATGATGTATTTTAGCTTCTGGTCATTTAGAAAACATTTTTTTTTTGGCCAGGGCTGGGTTCGAACCCACCACCTCTGGCATATGGGGCCAGCGCCCTACTCACTGAGCCACAGGTGCTGCCCTCATTTAGAAAACACACTTAGGGCTCAGTGCCTGTAGCACAGTGGTTATGGCACTGGCCACATACACCGAGGGTGGCAGGTTCAAACCCAGCCTAGGCCAGCTAAACAACCGCAACAAAAAAATAGCCAGGTGATGTGGTGGGTGCCTGTAGTTCCAGCTACTTGGGAGGTTGAGACAAGAGAATTGCTTAAGCCCAGGAGTTTAAGGTTGCTGTGAGCTCTGACCTCACAGCATTCTACTGAGGGCGACATAGTGAGACTGTCTCAAAAAATAAAAAAAAAATAAAAACCATACTTAGTACAAGGTTAGATCCTACTAATCTTGAGATACATATTCTTCAGTACTTTGTAACAAATGAGTCAAATACCAATACCCCATCTACTTTACATTCTATATGTGCTTTTTGCCAGCTTATCTATTATATCCTTCCTCTTTTTGCCAGCTTATCTATTATATCCTTCTGTCTTTATGGGTTGATGCCATTTTTATTTTTTCAGTGGGGATCCAAAAAACAGTGGAATATTACCAGTGCATATACTAAGTCTACCATTTCTGACCATCTTACTGCAATGGAATCTCTTCGGAAATGTATTTAAGAAAAGGAAAACTTGAACCACTGTACTAGACTTTTTATCTTCCTCCGAACTCACTTGGAGACTAAAGAGAACCTAAAACTCTAATAGTTCTCTGTCCCTCAATCAATGAGAAGAGCAGTGAGCTGACTGAGGTGACCTGTCAGAGAGTTTGAGAACAGGAAGTATTTAACTACAAACTGAATTTCAGTAAAGCTGAGATATGTGGTATCCTTCCACTCTTTCCCAGGATGCACTGCCAGACCTGGGACTGTGACAGGTTGTGCCTAGTCAGATGCAGCAGTGGAGCACCACCCCAAACTGGAAGTGGAGCCAGAGAGTCCAGAGCGTGTCCAAAGAAGATCATGTAAACATGATGCATATCTTTACAGTAACTGCTAGGCTCAGGGTCTGCTGGGGACAGTCACTGCAGCCAGCAGATGAAGAGGCTCTCAAAAGTGAACAGGTTGGGCGGTGCCTGTGGCTCAGTGGGTAGGGTGTGGAACCCATATACTGAGGGTGGCGGGTTCAAACCCGCTCTGGCCAAACTGCAACAAAAAAAATAGCCGGGCCTTGTGGCAGGCACTAGTCCCAGCTACTCGGGAGGCTAAAGCAAGAGAATCGCCTAAGCCTAGGAGTTGGGAGGTTGCTGTGAGCTGTGTGACGCCACCGCACTCTACCAAGGGCAATAAAGTGAGACAGAATCTTGATTAATTGTCTGGCCAGGTGCAGAATTCTAGATCGCAAACTATTAATGTTTTTCTCAGGATCTAGCACTATTGTCCAGAACTCTGATGATGATTTTGACTTTTGTTCATTTATCTATGAGCTAAATTTTGTCTCCACAAGCTTTAGGATATTCTTTTTAATTCTGACGCTCTGTAATTTCATGATGATGTACTTTAGCTTCTGGTCATTTAGGAAACATTTTTTTTTTTTTT